GTTTTAGATTTACGTTCACGGCAAACGTGAAACGTCAGTTGACCAGTAAAACATTCTTTTAAATTACTGAAAAAGAATCGAAAAAAGTCCAAGTAGTAGTAAAACAAAAGAGTATTTGCGCTTGGTGAGAAGGTTTGTAAAAGGTAAAGTAAAATACAGGAAAAGTATGAAAATGTGGTCACGTTGCCGTTTGCGGGCAGAAAAAAAAAGTCAATCTAAAACTCTCTATTAACTTTCGATTTTCTTCAGGAAGCGCTTAAACTTTCAATATCATGACTTTGCCTTATAAATATATACGGCCGTGAGAGGAAAATTGATATTCGGAAACTGGAATCTAGTAATTTTTTCTCTAATTTCCCGGATGTGTCACTCAATTCTGTGCAATGGCATTTTCATGAATATATCTTCAACTTACATATGGTCTGTGATCAGGCATTAGGGACACTTTAACATATGACATATTTTGTCGATACTGAAGAGAAGATTTTTGAAAGATTCTGATAATAAAACAGCTTTTCTATAAAGCTGCACAGCACGTTTTACCTATTGAATTCGAGCTCGTATAACCTTCTAACAAACGTGTGCAGAATTGTTGGTATAGTTTCTTAAACTTATAAGACAGCAAGACAATCGATACCTGGTACTTTTTCACACTTTCCTCCAGGTGATCTTGGGTTCCCTGTGTAGCCTTGTGAACATCTACAATTTGTATCAACACGATAATGAAACTTGAACTTAATTATCGATCATAAACCATCTAGCACTCACCTGTAGTTTGTTTGGTAAAATAATCAGTCTAGATATACAGCTATTTCCAAATATAGTTGCTAAAGGTTTTGTTGCATGTTGCACTCCCGACAATCTTGCATTGCACTATGGGCGATGTGAGTGTCGTGAGTAAAAGGTCACAACGATATGTAATTTCCCCAAACGTTTCTGCACGTTTTCCCAGCATAATTTCTTTTGTGATTACATTATTAATTATATCCTTTTTGTAATCACTACCAAATCCTGCAATCTGAGTGGTTCAAAGTAGTGCGATTAATTCCCAAATCGCATCCTTAGGAGCTTTTAATCGCATCCTTTTGAGCTCTTAATCGCATCTTTTTGAAAGAACCAATCACAGAACAGAATTCTTATATTCAGCCAATCAGAGAAGAGAATGATTAGCATTATTCTTGCATATTTAATGATTTGCTGATAAATCGTTTATTTTATACCAGGATAACCTGATTGATTTACTTCTTTTTCTACATTAAATTGATTATTCTGCACTCTTTATTTGTGTCTTTACCTTGTGTATGATTACACGGTCGTGCAATTTTGTAATCAATCGCATGATTTTGGTCCAAATTGCACTCCACTCAGTTCAATTACCATCATTTATATTCAAGAAATGGAAAACGCGAGAAAAGTCAATCCCTAAGTGCTATATAACTCCACACAACAAAGCAAGCAAGTTTTGTAATTTTTTTTATCGGATAAAAATCAGAGTAACCGTTATTTTGGTTACGAATGACAAAGTAGAAAGTGCGCGCATTGCTGTGTGCTCTCATAAAAAACGCGCTCCCAACCAATCAGAAAGCGATATTCATAACAGTTATTTTATGAATGAATATAATACCCGGCGGTTAACTCAGTTCGTAAGAGCGTTGGTCTGTTTAGCGGGAGGTCGTGGTTCAAATAAGTATTAAATTATTATTATATTAGTATTAATTGATATAGGTATTAATATAATTACCGCTGGTAATTTATAAGCTTTAAAAAAAAGATTTATGAGCTTGCATTATAGTAATAACTACTTATTGTTACCTTCCACAATCACGTCCCATGTAACCTTGTTGACAAGCTGTACATGTTGGGTATCCATCAATATCGATACGACAACTTTTACTAAACCTGTAAAAATACGTTTTCCAATAACTCGCATTAGAAATATATATATAATCTGTGTCATTGACCACTTAGTGGACTCAACCTACGAAACAAAATCTGATAGCCCATGTCCTATATAGTCGAATCAAAAATACAAACGAAAACATCAAAGTGCCTGTTAAGTCACATGATCTCTTCCTGATTTCAAAGCCTATATAAAATAAATAAGATTGGCCTTTACTTTCTTTTTGATATTTCTTTTCGTTGCCGAGATATTCAATACAGAAATCACGAAATGATGATGTTAACCCAAGATCCTTGTAAAAGTATATCTCTGTGAGAATTAGCTTAAAATGCCTAAATCTTATGTTAGTTATAGTGCGCTTGGGCGCTTGCTAGGGCCATCGAACATCAACTCTATTGTTAAAGTAAAACAGTTGTTATTTCAAATGTTAGATGCTATACCACTGTGTATCTATCAATCATGACTAGAATGCTAGAAAACGTATGTTCCTTTCTTTTTTACTTACAAATTCGTTGGAATGCTAAGAGGACATGAACAAACTTTACAATCAGCCGGTGATCCCCGAGTAGCGTCGCCATAGTAACCATCCTTACACAGCTCACAGTGATCTCCAGCTGTATTATCATTGCAGTTCTGCATGTGATAAGACATAAAAATAATCAATAAATTTTAGTCTTATTTTTGATATAGACACAAGAAAATGCCATCTTTATATGTTGGAATAATTGGCCCGAGAAAATGTTTCATATTGACGTTATTCACGTTCTTCGCACGATCATCATCATCTTGAGCTAAAATCAATGATCAATGGATATGATATAGTTCATTGTGGTTTACACCGAAACATTTGCAAGTGCAATATGAAATACACATATTTATGAATCAGGGGGGTGTGCACTATAAGGAAGTCTTTAAAAAAGGACACACCCTGATTATGAGGTAAAAAAGATATTAAACTAGAACAAAAGTTGTGTCTTTTTAATGTAGATACCGTGGATAATGCAATGCTTGAAACAATGGGGATTCTGCCGTATGAAGCTGTTGCAATTACGAAATACTATAGGAAAATTTATATCGCACGAGTCGCGACGCGATTTCATAAGTGGGTATTTCCATTTCTCAAACTTCATTAGGGTTTCCAAAAACTCGAAAACAATAAAAGCACTCGGCCTGCCTTCGGCCTCGTGTTTTCAAATGTTTGCTCGTGTTTGGAAACCCTAATGAAACACTCGCACTCGTTTTTGAAATATCACGTGAAATATCCACTTATGTATACGTTATTCCAGCCAAGCGGCGCGCGCAGCACCAAGTTAAAATCGATTTAAAGAACCGGCGCGTTAATCTTGAAGAGCTTAATCCCCTTCTTTTACCATCATTCAGTGTTCACATAATGAGTTTTTCGGAAAGTAGGTGTAATTTATCTTACCAAACATTTTCCAGTTTCAGGATCACACTCTAAACTGTGTTCGTTGCAGTTACAGCGAACACAGCGAGAGAAGCCTGGACCTGGCTTGACTCGAGTATAACCACGTGAACATTTCTGAAATGAAAGAAATATTTTAAGAATACTATGATAAAAAACTGGAGAAATACTCAACAACATTAAATTTTTATTCAATGAGCCCGGTATGCATTGAAATTCCTTTAAATGGTCTTGCATGGGTCGCATTTTATTCTTATGCTTCCAACCAAGGAAACACTATCTCAACAAAGCTTATTGTTAGGCTTGGAGTTAATAACCTCACTTTACCTGGCATGATAATCCAGCATAACCACGAGGACATTTGCACTGCTCTACTGTGTTGATTTGTTCAAGTAATGTGTCGTGTGGGACGGTAATGTCCATTGCGACGGCATATAGGCTAAAGATGAGTAATCGAAATAAATATTAACTGGAGCAAAAATTCCTGCCGTTGGGAAAATACAAGCGCGTAGCATTCATAGATTATATATATATTCAAGCAATAAACACTGATCAGTACTAGATCGGATTATCACATTGAGCAATTCTGTATTCTTCAAGGTTAGCCTCAACTTTGTAAAGAATTGCCAAATTTTTCAATGAAGGGTCCTTAGGTGTGGTGCTCGGAGATGGGGAAAGTGCTAAATGTATAGAACATTGTCGTACACACCTTGCTTGGTATGTTGTACTGCTATAGGTAGCCCTTATAAGAATACTCTTTATAGCCGACAAAGCGATGATCAAGTCTTCACGAGACACGGCTAGTCCATTAGGAAATGTGAATGAGRACTGAAAAATAAAACAATGAACAAGGGTGCATTGACGCAATTTAACCCGAATCACAAGTTTTCAATAGAATTTGTTCTGGCCGAATGCTCATGGTGGTCAGTGTTTAAACCCCATTTGAAGAAGATAACGAGGATCAAAGGCCTTTATGAGCCGATTTAAACCCAGCAATATATAACTGAATAAATGTGGTTATTACTTAATTGTCCAGGGGTGTCCAAGTTTTACCAACATGGCATTGTTGTATCTTGCATTTATCCTGAAGATTTCCAGTAACCTTAAAGTGCCCCTAATGCCTGATTACAGACCCATTTAGAACAAATCCTCACATTGTCATAAACGCATTTTTAATTTGTTGTTGTTGTTGTTGTTGTTTCAAACGAATTCCTGACTTTTTACGGCACGAAAAAGTTGGCAAAATTGTCGTGTTCACTCACTCTCGAAATTTCAGTACCGCGTTCGAGGAGCCTGAAAAATTTTATAGACTTACGTCATCAGGGTAATACACCAATTTTTTTGTGGGTCAAGAGTGCTGGTTTTAAAAGTTTTAAGAAAGAAAAAATGCCGAAATATTGAGCTTTTACTTATTGTACGAGTGAATCCGACTTGGAAGAATGCGCAAGTCTTTCACTTTTGGAAAGTATCACCGCGATGACGTAATCGCACCTGTCCCCCTTACGCGCGGTCCTTATATGAAAAGGTGCGTTTTCAAAACTCATTTAAAAATCAGGAATGCATCCAATTTCGAAAAAATTTTGGATTTTAGCATTTTCATGAAAATATCTTCAACTTACATAAGGTCTGTGATTAGGCATTAGGCGCACTTTAACAGATATTATATCTTTGAGGAGGATGAAATAAAACTAAGGATATCCATAATTCTGTCTCATCAAATAACTATAGAACTAAAATTCATTGTTATATAGTTGTTTCTCCATTTTTTTAAATTTCTCATAAAAAGAATAGTATTTTTTTATACGTTTTACCTCAACTAGACGGACGTGATGAGTGATTTCTTCTCCTCCCGTTGGTGGAAACCTTAGCTTGTGTACCAGTACTAAACCATATCCCTGAAACACAACAGTAAACCGCAGAAATGAATGCCGATCTCAGATCCTTCCGTAATGAGGCTTTCTTATAGAATGTAAAGGGCAAGGCGAAATTAAGGTACTAAGAGGTCACGTGATCAAATCCGCCGTTGTAGTTGGCATTCCAGTGGATTTTAGCTATGCGAGGACTATAAAAAAAGATTGCGGATTCGGGTAGTTTTTCTGATGATAAAAGGTATGCCAGTGCACTAAATAGCGAAAAAATCCCTTTTTCTTGCAAGAAATATATTCTTAGTAGATGTCCAAAGTAAATTTTTGCTATTTTAATTTTTCGAGTTAAAACTCGCCAAGAAAAGAATAAATATGGCATTTTATGCGATACGTTCAATAGACAGTTGTCCAGGTATGCATCATGGAGACCTGATCCAAATGCTGCTGCTGGAGAAACGAATACTTTTATGCTTTTCCTCCTTTTAGCCTAATTCCCAAATGCTTGGACAAGAAAGAACTATAATGAAAAACATATATAAATGAAAATATTTCTTACTCTGATTTCGACGTCTGATTCTCTAGTTAGCTGACCTCCAGGTAATGTGTCATGAGATATCGTGTAGCTCAATGTCCCACCATATGAGCTGATCTAATAAAAATATTAATAATGATAATGATTATGATGGTGATTATAATGGTAATGAAGAAATATAAAATAGTTTTCCTTTTTTGATATTCTGATCAAAACATGCGGGATACTGGAGTTCAAGAAGACAAGCAGGCATTAGTGAGAGCACGATTTATACCTTGAACACAGGGTGCCCACAACAACAATTTTTAAAATAAAATATATCGTGCATTTAATTAATGTTGCTTTAAGCTTTATGCCTATGCCGTCTTAAGAAAGCAAGAGCGTTCAGATTCTCGCACGTAGGCATTTCCTTGGAATGAAGAGCTACGCAAAAACCGGCACGCAGTGGCCGAGCTAAAGGCGGCCATCTTGAATTATATGGTTTTAATCCCTAACATGTTATGGGGTGCCGATGGGGTAACTGGTATATTTTTAATATATAGCTACGTTTTTCAATAAAAAGCACAGCTAAAAAGCAATTGAATTTGTTTGTAGTTAGAACAATATGAGAAATACCCTTCAATCTAATTATTTGAGAACGTAACCCCACTACTCTACACTATCTAATTATTTGAGAACATAACCCCACTACTCTACACTATCTAATTATTTGAGAACATAACCCCACTACTCTAC